ATTTCTTAAAAATTAAGGGGATAAATGTAATATTAATCTAGCCAAGAAAATATACTTGGCCCCCTCATGGTTATTGCCTAATAAGAAACGAGCACTAAGATTTTCCCTTTATTTTAACAATAAAAATTATTATTAATAAAAATATTATGATTATATAATAAATATAATAAAAGCTCTGAGCTTAGTGTTTTACATGCTTTATTTCTTTTGCCTCATGACAACCTTCTGGGGCAAGTATGACTATCATTGCCATTTTACAAATGATGATGCTGAGACAAAAAGTTGTAATTCGCCAGAGGTCTTGCAGCTAAATGGCAGAGTCAGGATATGTATTCATTTGCATTCAACTCCAGAAGCCAAATTCCTAATTACCATCATTTGTCGATTCTTAACCAAAACAAATAGAAATTTAATAGTTCATATTTCTGTTTTTTAAAGTAATGTGTCTTCATTTATTTATACTTCCTGCCTGATTTTCTTTAGAACTTCAAGAAACTGGTAAAAGTACAACCGACAATTGCTTTACCCTAAAACTTTTCCTAATTTAAATTGTGATTTCTAACTCCTATTACTAGCATGTGTGTGTGTATGTACATATGTATATTAATATATGTGCATGTATACATATAAATATATATCCATAAAGATATGAAAAACAAAAAATCTTATTGTGACATCTGTTATCTTCATTTAATAGCCTTTCTTCTGGGTCCTTTCAGTTTCAATATCTGTCCTAGGAGCTGCTAAGCACTAGTAGGTAGTGGATGATCCCGGGTTTACACTCAAATTTGACATAACAACCTTCTAAATAGATTACAAGATGACTATTTATCAGGGTTTAAATTTCAGTGTTGACATATGTCGGATTTTCTGAAAGCAGAGCCAAGATGGAATTTGTTGTGAGAGGTGCTTATTGGGGAGAAGGAGGAAGCAGGATTAAGCAGAGGGAGAGGCTGAATACTAAAGCAGACCTGACAAAGCCTTGGTGGACTCCATAGAGAGCTGTGGAGCCCATAGGGCACATCAGGGTCACCAGATTTAGCAAATAAAATACAGGGCACCCAATTAAATCAAACAACAAATAACTTTTTCTATGAGTATGTCTCATGCAATATTCATCCCATGTAATATTTTGTCTGATAAAACTAATACCATTGGACCAAAATGTCTGGGTCTTCATATCCCAATTTTTATCAGTCATTGGATGTGGGCCATTCCAGGAAGGATAGGACCTTGAGAGGAGGGGCAGACTTCAAAGGAGCTGAGAGCTGGGCAGGAAACCTTTCCATGAAGGGAAATCTGGGAGACATATATCCGTGTTTACCACAAATTCATAGCCAGGGGAAGTCTGGAGGCAACTGTAAGCTCCAGAACAAGGGTTTTAATTAAGGGACCCTAGCAAATCCAAATTTTGCTACTTAGTGGTGGGCTTGCATTGTTACTGTAAAGGAATAACCTAACAAGAAAGCACTTTTCAGTCAAGTGTGTAAGCAGTGAAACTGAACACATGTCCATGGAAGACATATGGCAGCTGAAAAGTTTGGAGCAGGATCAGCTTTATGGATGTGACCAGAGCAGTCATAAAGGGCCTCAGACTTAAAAGGGCCCTGAACTTGGTTTAATATTCTACTGTCTCCGTCTGGAAGTTCTTGGTAATTTTTTCTTTTATTTTGTTAGTGAAGTCTGAATGGGCAGTGGAGCATGCCTATGAGCAGAGGAAAGGCATGCAAAATATGTGTGTCTGCTGTTCCTGTGTCCCTGTTCACATATAGCATTCTTGATACCCCACAAGAATAGAATTCTGATATACCTACTATCCGTGAGAGTTCAGTGAGATTCAAATTGAATTCAAGCAGCCTACATCTATGACTGATAAGCTGAGGCAGTGAGAGCCTCAAGAGGCCATGTTTTCACTTTGAATTAGAACTTTCTTTGAATGCAGAAGAAAGTCACTGACATTCTAAAAATATAAATGACCAAGGAAATCTACCATATTCTTTCTTCTTCATGTTATATCCTGGTATTATTCAACCAATTATGCTGAACATGATGACAAAGAAGGAAAGGGAGTGATGGATAAGCCATAGGTTTGTTTTTTTTCCCTTTTCTCTCAGACCTTATTAACTCATCAGTAAGCTGAGGGTAAAGAGTGTTGGTAGAATGTGTGTACATCAAGAAGTGAAATAAAAACAGTTGAGTTCGTTTTTTCATTATTTTCACTGTTCTGGTAAGAGAGAAATACATATGCATGTTTGAGCTATGAAATACAAATTGGGTGATTTCAGTGATTCCACATATGAGTTAAATGTGCTTATATTTGTGCTTAAAATTAGCATTGCATAATATAAAAGTGAACAGCAAAATTCATGAAATAGTTTAAAATTTTAATTTTTCTTTGCTTAGAATGACATTAAGTAGCTGACTTAGAAAACATGAAAAATCAAGAAAGAAACTGCAGCAGAAGGGAAAAGGCTTTATCTTTCAGTATCTTTATAGACACTTTTTGAACAGGGACCCTATATTTCCATTTTGCACTGGGGCTCAAAAATTAGGCAGCTGGCCTTAGGTCAGAGGAATGGGATTAGCAAGTATAAATGGAGTAGAGTAGGATAAGGACCCTGAAAAACTGCTTTAGGAGAGAATACTGGATTTCTGGGGCCATGATTGTGGATGAATGCACTTGCACTACTTTTTGTAATGATTTCAAAATATTAAGGGGGAACAAATGTTTCTGTTACATGGATAGCTTTTATAATGCTTAAGTCAGGGCTATTATTGTGCCTGTCACCCAAATAGTGTTCACTGTACCTGATAAGTAAAGTAGGTTTTTACTCCTCTGCACTACTTTTAAAAATTTGTTCTTTATATCTTGTGACCTAATTTCTGAGCATCAGTTTTCCCTTCTCATTTTGTTTCTTACTTAACAAATATCTATTGTCTTTTGTGGCTATAGTAATGGGATAGGAAATACAAAAGGGGCGAAGTAGGATTGGACTACAGAGAAAACAAATATCAGCTACTGTCAAAGATCTTGCATTCAAATAATGTACTTTTTCTAATCATTTCTAGATTCTAATGTGTGCCTACATCACAGTATTTATGTGCATACACATATGCAAACACACACACCTGCCATTTTTTCTTCCTATTTTTTCAAACATATTTTGTTCCCTTTCCTCTTTTATATCCTTGGTCATTGCTAGAATGGTGATGGCGATGGTGATGATGGTAATGGTGATGATAATAATAATAATTAACATCATTCTAAGCACTTTACACATATTCAGTTAATACTCACTGTAGTCCTGTGAGACACATACCATTTTTATCTCCATAATAGAAATGAAGAAATGAAGCACAGAGAGGTTAAGTAACGTGTGCTCCAAATCAAACATCTAGAAAGCAGATGAGCCAGGATTTGAACCAAGACTGTCTCTACTAGGCTACACTAACAAATTTCCTTAAAGTTTTAGGCGATAGCGACCTTCAGCAGAGGTCTTCAAATTTACATATGTGTGCTGTGGCAGAGGGGAGGTACTGAAAATTCCAGGGAAGTGTTAGGGAATGAATTTCCAGATCTTCAGCTTCACTGAGCTCTTTTTCCTAAAAATGGTCTGCCAAGAATAAACCTAGAATTGAGGCTGGTGCCCTTTCCCACCTCACCTTTTGCAATAGCTCTTCTCCTTTTTTTAGAGAAGAAAGGCCCTCATGTTGAATCTTACTATGGTTCCATTACCCTGGGGCATAACACCCTCTGAGTGCCAATTTAAAGTATTGGTAATAGTCTTAAGAAAGTAAATGACATTTAAGACTGTGTAACAATATCTTTTATAACACAGGAATTTCTAATTATGTGTTATTAATAAAATTAAAGGAGGATTTAAACAGATTACCAGCTGATAGGGTATTAAAGTAATTTTTGATGATAGAACACCATGTGATTTTGTCATATAAATTAGGAGTTCTAAGAATTGGATGACAGTTTTATGACAAAGTTTCTTCCATTCCCATCCTTTAAATGATGAGTTTTCTCAGCATTTATATTTATAGAAACAGAACAGTGAAAGTGAATTTATATCAAATCTTGTTTTTTCTAAGGATAAGTACCATTCATTCATGGATACATAAACTAATTGTATGCAGACAATGCCATCCATTTCATTAAGTGCATTTCCATTAAGATTATACTTTTTATGTTTAAAATTATTTATCAAAATCTGTAATATATTTGTTTTATCTGATCCTTTTTCTCTAATAATAATTATAAGGACAATTTAATCCTAAGTTGTCTGGTCAAAGGAAATTTTTAAAAATTAGATTTTAATTTAACTATGTATATTTATTGCATAGAAAGAATAGGTTGATTAGTAAAAGATTTTGAAAGACAAAATAGAAATTTAGTGGAAAATTTCTGACAAAGACAAATTTATTCACATAAGTTTTTTAAAAATACATGATGATGAGTAGCACTATAGTAACAGATTCTATTGGATACCTTTAAGAGTGATGTAACAGTTTGTTTAAAAATGTCAAAACTTAAAATATATCCTTTGTACTTGTTTAACAATATAATGAAATAACTTAAATGTCCACCAAAAAAATTGTGAAGGGTATTTAGTTTATACAACTTTTTGTAGTTATACTAATATAAAAGTTTGAAGACCTTATGACCTGAAGGAATTGTCTTGTAACCTAAGTATATTGTTCAATTCATCTCCATTACATACTATTTCAGCTCTTTTTAATGCCTAGAGCATCCTTTGAAGTTGATGAAAGTCTTGTGCCAAGAAAGAGGAAAGTATTAAAGAAAGGGATGATACAAACCCATCAATTGTAGTGTCTCCAGAGGGACTGTTTAAATGAGTAATCAATTTTATTCTTCTCTTCATCATGTTCAGGGAACTTTCAGTCTGCTTACTTATTCAATTTCAAAATTGCATCTCTCATAATTGCTTTTGGACCTACATACAGAATTGATAAGTAAAAAAAAATGTATTTACCTTACAGCTTCCCATTGGGATAGCCCTAGAGAAAAGAGAAAAGAGAGTAAGATTTTATAAGTGAGAAAATGAAACAGGACAATTGCTTTCATCTTGGAAATGGAAAGTAAGATGACTGGCAGAGGTGTAACCAAGATATAGAGAATGAGGAACCAAATTCCTTCCGACTAGCTGTGTGTGTCTGAAGTTAGTTATTTAACCTCTCTGAGACTTAGTTTCCTCAAATAGGAAAAAGCAAAGTATACCTGTCTTAGAGGATTCTGTCAAGTATGAATAAGATTAAGTGTAAGTGTGAAGAGCTTGGCAAAATGTCCAATGTAAAAAAATGTTAGAAATCTTTGGAAATGTTTAAGAAAATAAAGAAAGAAATTTCTTGACAAAAATAAGGTCAGGAGATTCATTTAATATAACAGAGTTTATCTCTTCTAAGTAGTACCATTTAAAGTCCATATGATTATTTCAGAGATATTGTCATTCTTAAGACATTTCAGCAATTACTCTTTTGGAATTGTCCTCAAAGTACAGAAGTTTAGAATACCCTGGTTTTTTTTTTAAGCAGTCTTTTAAGAAAAGTTTTATTTTCCGATAATTATAGATTTACATGCAGTTATAAGAAATAATTCAGAGACATCCTGTGTATCCTCTCCCCTAACAGCAACATATTACAAAACTATAGTACAATAGCACAACCAGAATATTGACAGTGATACAATCCACTGATCTAATTCATATATCCCCAGTATTATTTGTATTCATGTGTGCATATGTGCATGTGTAAGAAAATGTTTATTTTTGCAAAGAAAATATAGATGAAACCTTTCACAAATTTTAATTATCAGATCCCTTGCTACTTAATGAGAATCTGGATCAGGACTTGACAACACCTAACAAAAGAAAACAGATGAAAATCCATAGAATCTTCAATGCTTGGTAAAATGTTGTTATCCCCTGAGGTTGGGAAAATCTCAATAAAGTACAAACAGCACAATCTGAAAAGGGAAAGTCTGATAAAATGGAGTATATCAAAATTAAAACTTTCTGCAAAAGAAAATACACCATTAACAAAGTTTAAATACAAGAAAGGCTGGGGTAAAAATATTTTCTACAGACATAAAAGACAAATCTTTAGTATCAAGAATGTAGAAAGATTCAAGAAATGAACATGAACAAAAAACACTATAGAGAAAATGAAGACTGAATGCTAAAAATTCATAAAAACAGGACTATAAATGGAAGTATAAGTGAAAAATGCTCAAGCAAGGAAATGAAAGTTAAAATAACAAAATACTACCTTTTGTTCTTTAGATTTGCAAAAATATGAAAGTTGATAAATATGAAAAGGTAACCACAGATCAATATTTGTTATGAATATAAATGCAAAAATTCTCAATAAAATAATACAAACTGAATTCAACAGCACATCAAAAAAATAATTCACAATGATCAAGTGGGCTTCATGCCACAGACACAAGGATGGTTCAACATATGTAAATCAATAAATGTGAGTCACCACATAATCAGAAACAAAAACAAAGATCAAATGATCATCTCAATAGATGCAGAAAAAGCATTTGACAAAATTCAACACCCTTTCATAATAAAAAATCCTCAATGAACTTGGCATAGAAGGAACATATCTCAAAATGATAAAAGCCACATATGACTATCCCACAGCCAGAATCATACTGAATGGGGAAAAGTTGAAAGCATTCCCATTAAGAACTGGGGGAAGGTATATACATACATAATGAGTGAGATGTGCACCGTCTGGGGAATGGTCTCACTTGAAGCTCATACTTGTGGGGGGAGGGGGGCAAGGGCATTATATGAAACCTTAAAATTTGTACCCCCATAACATGCTGAAATAAAAAAAAATAAAATAAAATTCAACACACACACACACACAAGAACTGGAACAAGACAAGGATGCTCACTGTCACCATTTCTATTCAACATAGTGCTAGAAGTGCTAGCCAAAGCAGTCAAGCAAGAGAAATAAATTAAGGATATCTAAATCAGGAAAGAAGAGGTCAAACAGTTGCTTCTTGTTGATAATATGATCTTATGTCTAGACAGCCCCAAAGATTTCACCAAGAGACTCCTGGAATTGACAATAAATTCAGCAAAGTTTCAGGTTACAAAATCAATGTATACAAATCAGTAGCATTCCTATACTCTAATAATAGTCAAGCTTACAGTCAGATCAAAGTCTCAATAACATTCACAATAGCTACAAAGAAAATAAAATACCTAGCAATATACTTAAACAAGGAGATGAAAGATCTCTATAGATAGAACTACAAAACACTGAGGAAAGAAATCACTGATGATACAGAAAAGTGGAAAAACATATCATGGTCATGAATCAGTAGAATTGATATTGTTAAAATGTCCATACTTCCCAAAATGATTTATAGATTAAACACAATCCCCATCAAAATGCGAACATCATATTTTACAGATCCAGAAAAAATAATTCTACATTTCATTTGGAACCCGAATAGAGCCCAAATAGCCAAAGCAATCTTAAGCAAAAGGAACAAATGTAGAGTCATCATATTACCAGAGTTCAAACTATGCTACAAGGCTATAGTAACAACATTGGATTGGCACAAAAATAGAGACACAGACAAATGGAACAGAACAAAAAACCCAGACATAATACCATCTGCATACAGTCAACTAATCTTTGACAAAGCAGAGAGAAATGTACACTAGGGAAAAGAAGCCCTATTCAATAAATGGTGCTGAGTCAACTGGATAGCCATATGCAGAAGAATGAAACAAGATTCGTATCTCTCACCATTCAAAATTAATTCAAAAATTAATTCAAGAAGTATAGCAGATTTAAATGTAAGGCATAAGCCCACAAGAATACTGAAGAAAATGTTGGAAAAATCATTCAAGATATTGGCCTACATAAAGAAGTTATGAAGAAGACCCAATAGCAATCACAGCAACAACAAAAATAAATGGGACTTGATTAAATTAAAAAGCTTCTGCACAGCCAAGGAAATAATCCATAAAGCAAATAGACAACCTACAGAACTGGAGAAAATATTCACAAACTGTACATCTGATAAAGGGCTGATAACCAGAATTTACAGAGAACTCAAGCAAATCATACAGAAAAAATCAAACAACTCCATTAAAAAGTGGGCAAAACATAATGACTGCAATGCACACCAACTGGGGATGGACACGCTTGAAGCTCTGACTTGAGGGGGCAGGGGGACAAGGGTAATATACATACCTTAACATTTGTACCCCCATAATATGCTGGAAAAAATTTTAAAAAGGAAAAAAAAACATAAAAAGTGGGCAAAAGACATGAACAGGAGCTTCTTGAAAGAATATAGACAAATGGCCAATAAACATATGAAAAAAATACTCAATGTCAATAATCATCAGGGAAATTCAAATTAAAACCACAAGGAAATATTACCTTACCCCAATTAGAATGGATTTCATTAAAAAGTCCAAAACAAAATATGATGCTTTTGATGCAGAGAGAAACGAATGCTTATACTCTGTTGGACTCTGTTGTATACTCTGTTATACTCTGTTGGACTGCAAATTAGTACACCTTCTATGGAAAACAATATGGAGATTCCTCAAAGAACTAAAATTAGATCTACTATTTGATCCAACAATCCCACTACTGGATATTTACCTAAAGGAAAATAAGTCATGTTATCAAAAAGACATCTGCACTCAAATGTTTATTGCAGAACAATTCACAATTGCAAAGATCTGGAATCAACCCAAATGCCCATGGATTCATCAGTGGATTAACAAAATGTGGTATATGTATACCATGGAATACTACTCAGTCATAAAAAAGGATCAATTAATTCCTTTTGCAACAATATGGATAGAACTGGAGGCCATTATCCTAAGTGAAGTAGCTAAAAAATAGAAAAACAAACACCACATGTACTCTCTATTAAATTGCAACTGATGAGCACACATGTTCATAGGGAGAAGTATATCCCAATGGAAATCAACGGGGGAGAGGAGAGAAAGGGGATGGGCAAAAACCTACCTAATAGGTAAAATGAACACTATATGGATGATGGGTACACTTATAACCCTGACTCAAGTATTACAAAAAAAATCCTTGTAACTAAAAATATTTGGACCCTTGCAATACTTCTAAATAAAAAAATAAAATATACTAAAAGGAAATGGATAAAAATAACAATAACATCTATTAGTTGAGTGCTATGTGTGAATGATTACATTTAGTCCTCAATACTAAGCTATGAGGCAGGTAATGTCAGTATAAATTTTATCAACTGTACTGGAAGATAATTTGTTAGTATCTATTAAAACTTAAAATGTGCATATCTATCAGCAATTTCATTTCTTAGCATCCTCCCTGGAGATGTAGTTGCTCATGAGCACAAAGAAGCATATACAAGAATGTTTACTGTAGCAGAGTCTGTAATACTGAAAAATTGGAAATGAACTAAATGTCCAATAATAAGAGAATGGTTAATTGTCTGTTCATATAGTAGTTCAAATGAATGAAGGTAGCTATAGAAATTTACTTGGATTGATATCCAAAATATATTGTTGAGTAGAAAAAGCAAATTATAGAGCAATACCATTTATGTTAAACATATACATCAGCACTCATACTTTTATTATATAGTATATACATAAGTATATATATAAATAATATGTATTAATTTTAATTAAACTTAATCTTCATTAAGAAGAAATTAAAGCTCAGATAGTCTAAGCAACTTTCCATTTTATATTTATTGAGACATGTCAAAGCAATGTATTACTTGTTTTCTACCTGCAACAGCAAAAGGATAAATCTCAGTCCTGCTACTAAATGGCTGTATTGTTTTTGATAAATCAATTAGCCTTTCTGATCTTTATTATTCTAATTGAAAAATGGTAATAATAATAACCATCTATCCTATATGGTTGTTTTCAGGATAAAAAGAAGTACCATATATAAAGATTTTAGCACTGTACTTGGCATGAAGAAAGCCTTCAAAATATGGTAGC